AAAGACACTTGGCGGACACCGCGGACAGTGTGGAAATACGAGCACAGGAGAAGATTATGAATGAGAGTAGGCACCCGCCAGGTGTGACGACATTCACCTGAGTAGGATCACGATACCAGCATAATACATAATAACGTTAACATTAGTAGTCAGTGTCGTCGCGGCTCGGCAGTGAAAGTGCGCTAGGCAATGCAATGTTCGGGCTGTTGCCCTGGACTGAATGACATCTCCACCCCCATCAATACGTGTATCCGTCCTCCAATCCTTGTCTATTTTGAGTGTATGTGCCAGTGGCACAGTACATGGGAATGTAGGAAGATAAGCCGAGGAGTGAGATGCACAATAAGTCATAGCCTGTGTAGGCCTTGCAGTCCTCCTCCTCCTCCCTTTCCTCCTCCTCCTCCTCCTACTCCTCCTCCTCCTCCTCCTCCTCCTCCTCCTCCTCCTACTCCTCATCCTCCCAGGAACCTCCGCTGCTCGGGAGTGGGCCCCGAGAGAGCCTTACGAGCGCCAGCAAGCCCCCAAGAAGACGCCGACGCACCCAAGACGCCCGCGAGAGGCTCGGAGAGAGCCCGGGAAACTCCAAAACTATAAAAAGACGTGTGACGCGCACATGAACAATTAAAGGGGTCTGGCGAAAAACGGCTGTACTCTCGCGGCAGGCTCGTACAGACGCTTGCCGACATGACAGCAACCTCTCACCGAGCAGGTGCATGTACACAGGCCTCCTCGTCAGGCCGCTCCAGAAATTCGAGGAGCCAAGGGAAAGTTAAGGCCTCCCAAGGAAGAGAGCGGCGTTGGCTGCACCTGGGACAACGTATCATCCACCCTATCATCATCCCCCTCCACTCGTCCCCGCCCCAACATCATGCTTTCTCGGGCCGTCGGGGTGAGGGACCAAGGAGGAGGAGGAGGAGGGGAGGGGGAGGGAGGGGATACGGCTGACCCATGCCCTCTCGGGGGCGCCCCCTCTTGCGCCTCTTGGGGTGGTAGGTCCGTGGTCTTTGGGGATGGGGTCTCTTTTTCTGGCGCTCGGACGGACCTTCCACCGGCAATCACATCCAGTTCGGGGGCGGGAGTACACAGCACTCCTCGTCCCACACTCGCCATGGGACGGTTGGGTCTTCGGACCTCTCCCCAGGCGGGAGCGGAACCGGCGACGCCCGTGGTCCAGGCGCGCCGTCTGGCGTACGTTTTTCGGTCTCTTCGGAAGGGTGCCTTTTGGACCCATCGACACCGGCAGGTGGGACACGTTGCCAGCGTAGGACTTTGCGTCGCAAAGAGGAACGTAGGAAAGCTCGGAAGAGGAAGAGAAACATGAAACGATCCCTGGCGTTGAGCAACTTGTCGCTTCAGCGTAGACAGACACGGAAACGCAAGGACGTCACACGCTATATTCCTGGGGGCACTTGGAATACCCAGAGATTCGGAGCAGGCGATCAGGCCATGAACCAGGAGTTCAAGGCAGAGTGTCTGTTCACGTTGATGAACACTCGTCGGTGGCAACTCCGCCTGCTCTCCGATCTAGATCTCCAGAAGAACGGGGTCCGTGAATACGAAGATGGGGGGATTCGGTGGACCCTTGTAGTAAGAGGGAAGGTAGGGATTGCATTGAGGGGAGAGTTGGCTAGGGAATGGACGGATGGGGAGGACGTGGTAGTGAGAGGAGGTCAGGAGCGTAAGGGCATCAGGTGCATGGCTGTCCCTGTCCTTCGGGTGGGCCGCCGTCGAGGCCTTACCCTCCTGGCGGTGTACGCTCCATGCTCCGTTCCAAAATATGCTCGTGCTCGAGAACGCTTCTACGAAGAGCTTCAGTTCGTGCAGGCAAAAAGCAGGGGAAAAGATAACCTTCTTGTCATAAAGGGTGATTTCAATGCGGAGGTGGGCCGCCGGGTCACACCCGACGACCAGTGTGATTGGCGCACATGGCCCCCCTAAGCTCACGGATTCTGGCTGGGAGCTCAAAAAGTTTTGCCGGGTCCAGTATGTTGTCATGAGCACACTGCTCCGCCAAAAGATGGCGGCCACGTGGTGGCATGTACGGTACCGTACGGCACACCAGTTGGACCACTTTCTTGCAAGGCCCCGTGATTGGTGGAATTTCACGGGATGTAAAACCCTGCGCTTTGGGCAGGGCGGGCTCCAGGGCAACCGCCGCCCTGTCAGGCGGCGTCGCGACCAAGGCGACGACCCGTGGACAGGTAGGGAGGACGGAGTGGTGGCCTGGTCCCCTTATACGGACCATGAGCCCGTCGAAATTCACATGCGTTTGAGGGCGTCTAGCATTTCGGCCTCCGGCGGCCGACCGGCCGGACTACGGGAGCTTGGTGGGCCCGACTGCCGGGGCCACAACCAAAAGGGAACGGTTTGCCACCACTTTGACGGATCTGGCTTTGGCATTTGGCCTTTGTAGAATCACAAGACATCTGCTCCGTTGTTAGGTCGGTTGCGTTGGAGGTTCTTGGCTTTAAAAGCCCAAGAAGCACCAAATCCCTTGGTTGCGCGGCCACGAATCGGCAAAGAAGGCCCTGGACGACGAGCTAGAACGGGCTAGGATGAAGTGGGCCTTGGCGTCGGAGGAGGAAGCCGCCGCTGCCCTTCCTGCCAAAAAGGAACTGGCCAGTCGCCGCCGCAAGGAGCTGCGGACCTGGGAATGCGCGTGCTGGCAAGACGTGGGCGCCCGGGCGTCGGAGGCAACGCATCGGGGAGACCAAGGGGAACTCTTCCGTTTGTTCAAGGAACTGCGGATTAGGCGAAGGGACCGCCGCGACTCTGGTCGCTGGAGCGCCCACAACGTCGTGGAAGAGCGGGAGGCTTGGAGACGACACTTCGAGAAAATCTCCAGCGACGCCGGCTCGGTCGCGGATAGAATCTGGCAACATGCATGACCCAATGAACCCGTGCCAGCTTCATGGCTTGAGCGGGAGCCCATCGATCTCGAGCTGGATCGATGCGTGAGCAAGATGCAGACGGGCCGCCAACCGGGGGAAGAGTGCTTCGTTGCAGAAGCTCTTAAATATGGGGGCCCGGTGATTCGAGCTGAAATATATGGTATTGTGCGGAGGATGTGGTCTCTGGCGGCCACAGCCGCACCGGGGGAGGAGTCCGAAGCGTGGCCGGCAGAATGGCGGGTCGGACTCGTCGTCCCGTTATGGAAACGGAAAGGCTCGCTCAAGGACAAAAACACTTGGCGTGGTATCGTCCAACCTCCAAGCTCCCCGCCCGCGTGGCTGCGTCGAGAGTATCAGACTGGTCGGAAGCATGTCGGGGCCAGGGCACGGACGATGCCCTACAAGTCGCGCGCGGGCTCGTCGAGGAAGCGTCGGCGCTCACGGAGGAGGTCGTCATCCTCGCTTTTTTGATATTGAAAAAGCACCCCCCCGGGTCTGCAGAAGCGCTCTGTGGGAGGTACTCAAACGAAGGAGATGCCCCGCAGGGCTCATAAACATCTTCACAGTGGTACACGAGCATACGGGATATAAAGTGCGGGTCCTGAGTGGCGTTTCCTCGTCGTGGTTTCCTCTCCGCGGGTTGCGAGAGGGGTGCCCCATCCAGTCTTCCTTTATTTAACGTGTTTGACGGTGCCGTGATGAAAGATTACCATCTGCGGCGCAAGCGGAAGGCGGAAATAGCAGGAACGAGTCCCGGCACTCCATGGGAATACCAAATGGACGACCGTTTAGCGAAGCGGGCCCGGACCCGCCATCAGACGGCGGGGGCCTTCAGTTTTGCCAGAACGCTGCGCACAACCACCATAGGGGACATAGGCTTTGCCGACGATGCCATGATCGCCGGTGTCGCAGGCGAGATGAAAACGGCGGAGCCATTATTGGTAGCCACGATGGCAGATTGGGAGGAGAAGGTAAACAGGGGTAGAACCGAAAAGCTTCGTCTGGGAGGAGGCCGCAAGGGTCCATGCGATGTTCGTTCCGAATTCGAAGTTCCGTCGCTCCGTCATATCGGGGGCATTCACGCGGAGAGCGGATCACAGGTGGAGGACACAGCGAAACGAGTTGCTGCAGGTAATGCTATGATTCGTGCCTCGGCCAAGGGGTGGTCTCTGGGAACTGCCCACGGCCGGGGGCGCACCAGCGGGGTGAGCCTCACCACGAGGTTACATGTCCTTCACTCGTGTGTGGTCGCGTATATGCTTTCGGGCGCCCGATCCCGATCTTGGCCGAAAGGCGATGTGCGGCGAATTTGGAGGGTCGCCAATTACCTACGGGGCCAGGCGTGCCTTCGGCATGGACGCTTGGATCATGAAGGACCTCGCAGTAAAGATGTAGATCTTTATAGATCGTCCCAGTGGACGCGAGAGCCATGGCAATACAAGCGAAAGCCAATTCTAGAGTGATTCTGGCGTGCTATGAACAGGAAAAGGTGGAGGAGCGCCATCGCTCGGTCCTTCCCGGGGCCCGAAAAGAGCCCGGAGCATGCTCGAGCCCTGAATCGGTGGCAGCCAGGCGACCTCCTCCCTGTCTGTGAGGTGCTGGCTCACGGAGCTGGAGGCCGCGGGGCCGCCAGCCAGCAAATGGGGGGGGAGGGGAGCGGGAGGGGGAGGGGGAGGGTTCCCTCCCCCTCCCCGTCCCCCTCCCCCGCCTGCTCCGGCCAACGGCTACGAGTGTCCGGTCTGCAGGCAGTTCTTTAGGACTGGTAATCAGTTGAAGTACCATTATGATGAACGCCACTCGGTGCGGGACCCTGAGTTGGTTACCAGCATTGCATATCAGTGCCCGGATTATAAGCACTTCTTTGGTAAGCAGACTCGGTACCACATGCAATCGTGCCCGGCTCGCCTCGAGGAGGCGCGGGGGGGGGCAAGGGGGGGCGGAAGCGAGAGGTAGGGAAGCGAGGAGGACGGAGGGGGAACCGAGGGACGGGGGGCGACAGGGGAGGAGGGTGGCGGGCGAAGGGAGACGAGAGGGACGTCGGTGGTTGCCCAGCGTCGCCGCCGCCCAGCCACCACGTTGCTTCCTGTTGCCTCACCCCCCCAGGCTCGCCGACTGGCAGCCGGTAAGGGTCGACGTGGTGGGCAGGGCAGCCTCAGGCGGACCGCGCCCCGTCGGTCGCTACCCCAGCACTCCTGACTCCTCCCGCGTTTCCTCGTCCTCGGCCCCATCCCTGGCTAGCCCGCGGCCTCGTCGCTCTCGGACTTGTCCGCGCTTTCTCCGTCCTCGTCCCCGGCCTTCGTCCGCGTCCTCCCCCTCCTCTTCCTCATTCTCCTCCTCCTCCCCCTCCTCCTCCTCCTCCTCCTCCTCCTCCTCCTCCTCCACAACCCCTGTTCCTTACAAGTAGCTCCTCCCTGTCGCACCCCCACCCAAGCGAGTCGGGAGGGCGGGCCCGGCTTTTCGCCTGAGACTTCCTCACAGTTTATGATCATGAGGCTTGAGGTTTGCAACAACTGCACGGATGGGGGGTCCTTTTCAAAATAGAGCTCTCGCCTGAGCGCCGCGCACATTCGTCTTGTCATTCCAGCAGAGCGCCTTAATAGCAGCAAAGGTGAAGAGGTGGGAGGATGAGCACGAGGTCTGCAAGTAAAAACGTGCATTCCAGACGGTGACGCGCCTCTCGTGACCTGGGAGGGCGAGAATGGCAAGACTAGAGTATTGTTTACAGGGGACCTCAGGATTCCTCGGGATTCCGTAGGGACCGTCAGGATTCCAAGGGTGCGTCCTCAAGAATCCTCAGGATTCCTCAGGGGTCCTCAGGAGTCTTCAGGAGTCATCAGGATTCCTCACGATGTTCAGGATTCCTCACGAGTCCTTAGGATTCCTCGGGAGTCATCAGGATTCCTGACGGTGACACGCCTTCGTGAACTGGGGAGGCTCGAATGGTGAGAATAGCGGATTTCTCATAAGGGATCGTGACCTGGGGAGGCTAGAATGGTGAGAATCTTATTTGTTTGATCAGGGATCGTGACCGTCTGGGAGAAGACATGTCGCCGACACTGAAGCGAGAGCAGGACCCTGGAACAAAATCCGCCACGTGGGAGTGTCCTCAGTCCTGAGGATTCTTTACTGGGCCCTGACCGTTGGCGGGGCTTCCCGCGTGCCCCCCGGGCTGTGCTAAGTGGTGGCGCGTGGAGTTTCGGCCACAAGAGGGCCCCAAGAAGGGCCAAAAGGGCCCCAAGCGGCCCCGAAGACGGCCCAAGAGGGCACCGAGCCGTCGAAAGATCGGCCCATACAAGATGGCCCCCAGGCTCAAGAGGCTTCGAAGTCGCCCCAAGAGGCCTCCAATAGGCCTACCAAGAAGGCCCCAAGAGGTCAACGTCATTGATTGTCCTTAGGTGATTCATTGTTTTTGGGCTACTCGTCTTTTCGGCTTACCGACGCTCCAAGACGGCCCAGGAGGCCTCCAAGAGGCCTCCCAAGAAGGCCCCCAAAGAGGCCAAAGTCATTGATTGTCATTCGTTTTTTCATGGTTTTAGACTACTCGTCTTTTCGGCGTCCTAATGCTCTCCGTCCTTCCTGTGAGGTACTATGTGGTCCTTGTTCTGCCACTGTTAGAACATTTTAGCGAAACGCAGGGGCAAGACTCGCAACTGCTACAAGGATGGATGGTGGGTGTTCTTCAAGATGGCTCGCACCTTAGCGGCGTGCACATTCGTCTCAAAGTCCGACGTTTGCATCAGCGACAAGCGTGGAGGGCAGGGGCCTTGTTTTCAAAATTGGGCTCTCGCTTGGGACCTCCTGAAATCGAATGATCAGGAGCTTGATAGATCGCACAGCTGAATGCATAGAGGGCGGCTGCTTCTCAAAATGATGCTTTAGTTTAACATCTCCTCAAACTTAGCGACCCGAAGCGCAAACTTGTGCAACGGTTTCACCAATGGGGACCGGTGCCTTTTTCTCATCGGGGTTCTCGATGGACACCTCGTTGGATCTTATGATCCTGCCTCCTCGCATGTCACATCACTCGCTGGAAGCATTGCAATGCTGTTCCTTTTCAAAACAGGGAACAGGGCTCTGGCCTGAGTGGCAGGCCCATCGGGTGCCGAATAATATTTGGATGGGACGCTTCTAGAGAAGTGAAAACAAACTTCGGACGGGATGGCATGATCGCAGCATCGATGCCGCTGGGCTAACTCTGGTTCTACGCCTCCTCCTTCGACCCCGGCATCGCGTCTTCGTCCTCGGCCCCGCCTTCGCCTGCGTCCTCGTCCTCGCACTCGTCATCGTCGTCGTCGTCGTCGTCCTCCTCCTCCTCCTCACCCTCCTCATCCTGCTCATCGACCTCGTCAACGTCCTCGCCGTCGTCGACGACCTCGTCAACGTCGCGTTCGTCGACGTCTTCGTCCTTCTCCTCCGCCACCTTCTCCTCATCACCCTCCCCCCCCTCCCCCTCCCCCTCATCAGCCCCCTGCTCCGTCCTGGCGGCCCGCGAGACGCGCGAGCACCAGAGGGGTGAGGCGGGGCGAGAGTTGACAGAGGAGAGAGGCACGTGCCCAGCAGATCCTGGCAGGAGATAAGGGAGGGAACGAGGGGAAGACGGAGGAAGGAGAGGAGCGGAGGGGATGGGAGGCTGTCGGGAGGAGGGGGGGGGGAGAGGCGTGTGGAAGGGAGGAGAAGGAGGAGAACGGACGTTTGGGGCGCGGCTGGGGACACGGCTAGAGAAAGAAGGCGTGAGGGAGGGCGGGATGAAATAGGTTACTGGCCTCATGCCGTCTCCTCGACCTCGACGACGGCACCGACACCGACGACACTGACGACGACGGGGGGGAGCCCCAGCCGCGTGCTGCGCCTGGCACCAGGGATCTGGCGCCGGCCGAGAAGGCGACCACGGTCGCCTGCCGCCCGTTGTTTCTTTCGGAGGGAGGGAGGTGGAGGAGGGAAGCGCGACCACAGAGCCTCACACGACTCGGCCTCGACCGCAGTGCGAATCAAAGGGCCGCTGTGCGAACCACGCTCGCTTACCTAGAGGCCTCCCAGATGGGGTCTGAGTAGATGGGGCCAGAGGAGTGCACCACATCGCGGATGTATCGGCGATGCGTCGGCGATGTGTCGGCGATGCATCGACGACGTCGGCGTGGAGAACACCGGGCTCAACATCGAATGGATCATCGGCGTCGGCGATGCATTGGCGATGCGGCGCGATCCTCCGACCCAATCTACTCCGACCGTATCTGGGAGGCCTAGCCTACCGCCCCCCCTCCGTCCCCTTCGATACAGCGGCGGCCCTCGCGCATCCCCGCCTTTGCGACAAGATCGACGTTGGAGGATCGAGGCCTTCGGACGTCCCCAGGGCCTCCATGGGGGCCTCCGGAGGCGCCTCCGTGGAGCTCCAGAGGCCTCCAGAGGCCGCTTGGCGTCGAGGTCGCTAGGACGACGGGGTTGAGATAGGAAGGGTCGGGGGTTGCTAAAGGTACCCGGTTCCCAAGGTGCCCCCAGCTTTTCGCTCCATTTTGGAGCCCCTGGGGCCCTCTGGACCTCGCGAGGGTTGCTCTGGAGGCTGTGGGGGCCTCCTCGGAAATCCTGGGGACACCTTGGGGCCAGGGGCACTTCTAGCAGCACCCGAAATGGAGGGAGGGAGGGAGCTATCCCGACAGCTCCAGCGAGGCAGCGCAGAGATGGCGCTTAGCGCCATCAGGCCAGTGAGGCCCACAACGCCTACCACCACAACTACTACCATTACCACGGCACCATCCAACACGACCGCCACTACCACGGCAACGACCCTGGCAGCAGCGGCGAGCCGGAGCCCCGGCGGCATGGCGACTCGCTTCCACGACGACCACGACCACATCCACGACCCCCGACGACGTGACCGCCGCCCCCCGTATCACCCCTCCCCGTCATTGCCCTTTGCTGGCCGCCCCTGTTTGTGTATCGCCCCCCCCCCCCCCTCGATTCCTCCTCCTCCTCCTCCTCCTCCTCCTCCTCCTCCTCCTCCTCCTCTTCCTCCTCCTCTTCCTTTTTTCCTCTTCCTATTCCGCTTCCTCCTCATCCGCAATCGGGGGCATTCGCGGATGACCGCGGCTCTGGTGTGAGTCATTCAGCGACGTCCTTAAACATTGGCGTCGGATATTGAAACTGTTAGCCAGCGCGGACCCCAAACAGTGTTTGTCGCAATAAAAAATGCGCAACCTATGTGGCGCAATCGATGATATGCGTGCTATGCGGTGCAATGTATGCGGTGCACTCGATGTAGTGCAATCTATGTGGTGCTATATATATATATATATATATATTGTGGGGTACATGTGGCGCAATCGATGTTATGCAATCTGTCTAGTGCATCTATGTTGTGAGCGATAAAAACCCGCGCCGCAGGCGCGAAAAACGAATCGCGAAAAATATGTGGTGCAACATATGTGGGCCAATCTATGTGGTGGAATCCACTCTGCTGAACTTGAAGTCGTCATCTCCACTACTCACGCAAACATCCCACCCACCCACCCGCAACTTGGTTTGCAAAACCTCTTAAGACCGACTACGACGACACCGACGACAACGACTAGGACGACACCGACGACGTCTCCGACGACTTCGACGACGACAACGACGCCGACGCCGACGACGACGAAGACGACGACAACGACGCCAACGAAGGCGACGACGAGGGAGGAGGAAGGACGACGACGACGACAACGACGACAAAGACGACAACGACGAGGGAGGAGGGAGGACGGCGACGACGCGAACGACGACGAAGGAGGAAGGACGGCGACGCCGACGACGACAACGACGAGGGAGGAGGGAAGACGACGACGACAACGACGACGACGACGGCGACGAAATAGGAGGGACGACGACGAGACGCCGACGACGGACGACGACGACGACGTGAGAGGAGGGGGAAGGACGACCACGGCGACAACGACGACGGAAACGACCACGACGCCAAAGAGGACGACGACGACGAACTCGAGAAAAGAAAGAGGACGACGTAGGCGACGACGACGACGACGACGACGCGGGAGGAGGGAGGACGGCGACGACGACGACGACGACGCAATAGCGCGCGCACGCTTTTGTTGAAAATCCGTGTTGCGAAACTTTGTGTTTTTGTATGTTTTTTGGACGCACGATTTTGAAATCCTTCCGAAACCGATGGGTTTTGAAGGTTTTCGGCATACGCGCGCGACGACGCGCGCGTCTGCACTTCGTCCCGCTTTTTGCAAGGGATTCTCGCGACGGCACACGCGCAAGGGCGTTCGACTGATTTCGACATGCGCGCACGCGAAGCCCGTTTGGTAGCATTTGTTCATGAAAATATTGACAAACCGATGGTTTTCTTAAGATTTCGCAAGAGCTCGCGCGGAAGCTTTTTTAGCCAATCAGTGTTGCGAAAACATGCATTTTGTATGTTTTTGGGAAACTCGATTGCGAAATCCTTCCGGCACCGAAGGTTTTTGAAGGTTTTCGGCATGCGCGCGCGACGACGCGCGCGTGTGCACTTCGTCCCGTTGTTTGTAAGGGTTTCGTGAAAAAGTGCTATGTTAGATCAAAAAATGCCACCGCATATTGTTTTCTACAAGGGAACCTCAGGGGGGGGAACCCGGCCTGGCTGGGATGGTATGATTTCATATTTCGGATGGACGAGTGTGCAGAAAATATATGAAATCATACTATCCCAGGGGGAAGCGATAAGTCGGGGGGGGGGTAGAGTCTATTCTCTTTTGAGAAAGGAGAATGAATTACTGTTCGCAATGAGTTGTCCATTCAACTGCTCGCGCAAACATCCCACCCACCCACCCGCAACTTGGTTTGCAAAATCTCTTGAGACCGCGACGGTGGGTACCACATGGCACTTGGCAACAACAGCGACGCCGACGACGACAGCGACAGCGACGATGACGCCGCCGCCGACAACGACTACGACGACACCGACGACGTCTCCAACGACTTCGACGACGCCGACAACGACGACGACGACGACGACGACGACGACGACGACGACACCGACGACGACGACGACACCGCCGCCGACGACGACGACGATGACAACGACGACGACGATGACGACGCCGACGACGACGATAACGACGACACCGACGACGACGACGACGTCAACGACGCCGACGACGACGACGACGACGGCGCCGACGCCGACGACGACGACGAAGACGACGTCGCCAACGACGACAACGACGAGGGAGGAGGGAGGACGGCGACGACGCGAACGACGAGGAAGGAGGAAGGACGGCGACGCCGACGACGGCAACGACGATGGAGGAGGGAAGACGACGACGACGACGACGACGACAACGACGACGACGACGACGACAACGGCGACGAAATAGGAGGGACGACGACGAGACGCCGACGACGGACGACGACGACGACGACGAGGGAGGAGGAGGAAGGACGACCACGGCGACAACGACGACGGAAACGACCACGACGCCAAAGAGGACGACGACGACGAACACGAGGAAAGACAGAGGACGACGTAGGCGACGACGACGACGACGCGGGAGGAGGGAGGACGACGACGACGACGACGACGACGCAAGAGCGCGCGCGCACGCTTTTGTTGAAAATCCGTGTTGCGAAACCTTGTGTTTTTGTAGGTTTTTTGGACGCACGATTTTGAAACCCTTCCGAAACCGATGGGTTTTGAAGGTTTTCGGCATACGCGCGCGACGACGCGCGCGTCTGCACTTCGTCCCGTTTTTGCAAGGGATTCTCGCGACGGCACACGCGCAAGGGCGTTCGACTGATTTCGACATGCGCGCGCGCGAAGCCCGTTTGGTAGCATTTGTTCATGAAAATATTGAAAAACCGATGGTTCTCTTAAGATTTCGCAAGAGCTCGCGCGGAAGCTTTTTTAGCCAATCAGTGTTGCGAAAACATGCGTTTTGTATGTTTTTGGGAAACTCGATTGCGAAATCCTTCCGGCACCGAAAATTTTTAAAGGATTTCGGCATGCGCGCGCGACGACGCGCGCGCGTGCACTTCGTCCCGTTTTTTGTAAGGGATTCGCGAAACAGTGCTATGTTAGATCAAAAATGTCACCGCCCATTGTTTTCTACAAGGGAACCTCAGGGGGGGGGAACCCGGCCTGGCTGGGATGGTATGATTTCATATTTCGGATGGACGAGTGTGCAGAAAATATATGAAATCATACTATCCCGGGGGGAAGCGATAAGTCCGGGGGGGGTAGAGTTTATTCTCTTGTTAGAAAGGAGAATTCACCCTGCCGAAGTTGAAGGTGTCAACTCCACCGCTCGCGCAAATATTCTACTTACCCACCCACAATTTGGTTTGAACAACAGCCATGACGGCGATTGCGATGTGTGTTTGGCGTTGGCTGGTGCATTTCTGCGGCCGCGCTAGCCCGCGCATGCTCGCGCGCGCAGCGGCCGCCTAGTGCGGCGCGACCGACGCGGCCGCGGTGGCGCTGACCACTGGGCACTCCCCAACGGGCGCTTCAATGCGAACCGGTGACGTGGGCAGGCGCGGTATCACGGCGACGCCAATAAGGGTGGACACGATGATGGGAATAACAATGATGGTGACGATAGTGGCGATGACGACGGCAAGGCCAGTAACTGCACCGATGTTGATCACGCCCGCCGATATTGATGACGATGTCCTCGCGTCGGCGATGAAGGTTCGACATGCGCGCGCGAGAGAGGCCCGTGTAGCATCAGAGTATGAAAACTTGAAACGCCGATGGTTTTGCCCAGAATTCACAACAGCGCGAGCGCGGGATTTTTGTATAACCCGCGTTGCGAAGACATGCGTTTTACATGTTGTCCTGACTAAGGTAGCTGATGCTGGAAGCTGGCGCGACCAGGCCCATATTTTCGAAGGCCCAGCGTGACCTGCCTCGGGCCTCGCG